AACTTTAGGATGGTTAAAGAATATTAATATACAACCTGAGAACAACAAATGTATCTATGCACTCCTTATCTGCCCACAAATAAAGCAGCAAAGTTTGGGGGGAAAAAATCTGGAAGAAATCCAGAGAAATACACAGGTAAGTCTCAAACCCCCATTTTTAATGTCTCCCTTTTCACTCTTTTCCTTCAAGTATCTGCAACTTATCCTAAGCTAATAAACCTCTCCCCACAAGGTAAGAAAGGACCAGAAAACCTGCCTCCCATCCATCCTTGCAGATTCATTCTTACCCACAGTCTTTTGTCTGGAGGACCTGCGGGAAGGGGACTGTGTCTTACTCTGGGTGAAATGCTGCCCAGTATGATCCATCCTTTTCCTCTTCCAGTCTGGGCAAAGCGTTTTTCACTTGGCATTACCGTTCTGTGCTAGGAGGCTGTGCTAGGATAAGTAGATCCTTATCATCATAGATAATGATGTAAGAGCTGTCATACTGCCTTGGAGGAAAGCTCTGCCTGTCCCAGTACCCTGACTCTGATGGAGACCGTTAACATTAACACCTTCTGCTTCTGGAATTCAAGTTCTAGGGATTTTTCAGCAAGAAGTCATGTAATGGCTAAGTAACTGATATATTGTTTTTATGTAAAATCACCCAGTCCTTTCCTTTCCATCTTTAGTTTTGGCCTTTAGAATGTGCTGTGGTACAAAGTTTCATAAACCAGATTGCCTGTGTTTCAAGGTGCACATGATCTCTGAGCTGGCAAGACTGTGAAGATGCATGGTTAGGCCGTGCATTTGGAGGGAGAGCAGAGAATGGCCAGCACTGCTCCAGCAGCTGAACCAATACAGTCTTCACAAGCCACATGCAGACCATGGGATGCAGCTGCTGCAGCCTGCTGCAGCCTCCGTGTACAAGAACATCCTGCAGTTTGCCGACTGGCTCCACCAGGGCATTCTACATCTCTTTCTAAAGGTCTCTGCTGCTGACTGTTCCATACCCTTAATTTATTTGTCATTCCAGGGCATGACAAATTCCTGTAGCTCAGCTGTCTTGCTGGGCCTCTCCTGACATGCTGTCCAAAGGTCACTCACAGCCTCTTTGCTTGGAAATATGCCAAGCTGAGGCTAAGTGGTAGCACTCATGGCTCCATAAGGCCTCTCAGGTGCTTAAGCAAACAAAGACTGGAGAGGCACAGATGCCTCAGTAGCAGGTTCAGGCTAGAAACACTCACTGCTTTCTGTGTGGGACTTCCTGTTCTCCCCTCCTCTTCTCAGGCTGAATGCCCTTGGAGGATGGCTCACACTGTGTTTCTCTCTCTCAGCTGCTGCAGAGTTCTGTTTCTCAGTTACGTCCACAGCAGCTCTGCAATTTAAAAGTCAGTATCTGCCCAAACACTGACTTCTCTTTAGCAGCTGCATCACCTGGGCTAAAGGGAATGTATTAATATCTTAGTAAAACTGGATTACCAGAGTCAAGGATGGTCTTCTTCTCATCACTTACGTCTGCACTGTTTCAGCTCTATACACATTCACTTAGTTACAGCCTAATCCCCAGCTCCTTGTTAAAAAGGAAATAAATCCTTCCACCTGTTAATGTAGAATTAACCACTCAAGCCTGCTAATTCAGAATCACACTGCACTATGACCCAGGGGGCCTGGCTGATTTTCTAATAGTCAGAATGAGGATGGAGGGTTTGCCTACCTCAGGGAAAGAGGACTTCAGTGCTGACAGCAGTTGTTGGCAGCAGATGGCAATTTGTGCCAAACAGGATCTCAGCTCAAAGCAAGGACAGGAACAACCTTCTGAGCTGCTTCACACTGATTAGAGCTTGTTTTTACCTCAGTTTCAGAAACAGCACAGATCAGTTTGTTTCTCTCTATGCTAAAGCCACATGAATTTCTATGCTGACCTAACCTCACTTTTTACTGTTACTAATTCTTTGCAAGCTGTGCATCAAACTACAAAAAGCCCTGAACAGGTCTGACTTTGTTGAACACCAAACCTGTTGCAGTTCTAAGTCTTCCACTCTTGCATGGCAGAAGACACTGAAGGCATTATTTAAATGCACATCAATAAAGTACTCATCCAACTCCTGGAGAAGGATGTTGATAAAGTAATCCCATGATGAAGGTTAGTTTTGCAAACTTGTTCCAACTCAACATTTTATCTACAATCATTGCACATTTCCCCCCCCTCCTTTTTTTTTCCCCAACTGTAATTGTTGTCTGTCCGTTAAAGCAGATGTGATGTGTTTACAGCTGCCAAATGACATGAAAATGACCACTGAGCTGACTGGGAGATTAATAACTCCCATTAGGCAGCAGCAGCAAAAGGTATTCTGGATTGCTGCTAATTCCAGTGCTGCCTCAATAAAGACATCCCCACACGCTGATTACAAGGACACAGGAGGCATAGAGAAGAATCTTACAAAAACAATGATGTCAGGGCCGTGATCTCAAGGCCAAGTCTTGGAGAATCCCACACAATGACAGCTAAATAAAGTTGCACGGCAAAGACTGTAAGTCTTGATGCGAAGGATTTCAGGGTAAATGCAGGAAATGAAGCAAAGTTCCCTATGTAGTACTTCAGAGACTCTGGTCTTTAAGCAGGCAGTGATTTGACTCCTCCAAATTCACAGTGGGTAGTTTGAAGTCTGAATTATGGAATGGCTCAGATGGCTCTCAGAGCAAAATATGTAAATCCATATTACTGGTACTTGCCTGTAGGACTTAACTTTAGGGATGCAGGAAAACTCTGTAAAATAATCCTGATACAGCAGCTGTTAGAACTGCCTACTATTTCCTGCTGTTGTGTGAGAAGTGAGCAGAAAGGACACACTAGGACACAGACTTCACCTGCAAGCTTTGCTTTGGCTACTTCCTTCCCTTTGCCATCGTTGCTTGCTGCTCTTTCCACATTTGGCCTTTTCTGTTCATTCTAAGTCACACTGCAGAAGGAAAGAAACATGATGCAGGGCAAAGTCACCTTTCTTCTGCTTGGCATTTTCAGAAGCACCTGGTATCTTTAAACATACATCTACCTACAGGATCTGCAATGGCATGACTGTGGAGTGGCTGAGCTAGCACATCCTAGGCCAGCTTCCTGGTGCTACGTCATTCCTAAAGTAGGTTGGAGAGAATGTTTTCAGGTCTTCTCCTTGCTGCCAGTTCACCAGCTCTAATCTGCTCCAACCCCCAGCTGCCATACTGTACCTTTGACAAAAATGCTTCTCTGACAGAAAGTTTAAAAAAATGTCTTTCCAGAGACATACTGCCCACAAAGGTCAATTCACAGCCTGACAATTGGCTCCCTTGACTTCATCACTATCTACTGCATCCATTCCCAGCTCAATGCACTTTTTACAACTCGGCCTTTCCTTGCTAAAGACCCCCAGCCAGAACAGAGGGAACCACAAGATGGAAGACAGCAGGAGATAAGATACACAGGCCACATAAAGGGAGCCTGCCGATTATTTTCATTAGCGTTGGCAAATCACAGCTGCAATAGAAAAAGAGGTGTCAGAAAGTGAAGACTACTGCAGCTAGACAGAATATTAGGAAAGCTAAAGAACTGGCTGCAGAGGAAGGCTCCAGCCAACATGCTGAGTGATAAGGAGCCACTCCCACACAGCACTCAACCCTGAGCTGTCCCAGTAGGTATGGAAGGAGAAGGAGGGACCTGACATTATGTTTCAATAGACACAACAGGACACAACAGCATTGTCTGCTGGTACAGACTGCATTGCTGTGAGTTTTTAATGTTTTTGTGGATTTGCTCATATACCTTAGTTCACAGGCAGCTGGGCTATTTCTGTACCACAATCACTGGTTGATAGGGATTCTGACAGTATCAAGAATACAAATTTGCTTTAGTAAAGAAGAAAAAATACATCACTTTTAATTGGTGCTAAGTGGAGAACAGTCTACGTGCAAGTGCTGCATTTTCAGCTTTTAGATAGCTGTGCAGGCAAATAGGTATTGCTTGCTACTTTACTTCAGTAATTTCGCTGTGCAACAGCTCCTAGTGCTGGAAATCACACTACCTGGCCTAATTCCCTTTTTGGAAGTCAGTGATGTAAAGTGATGACCATGGAAGAATTTTATTTTTCAAACAAACCATCTACTGTCTTGCCTTGGTGCTACGTCAAACACACACATGGCTCTCAGGGAAAAGAGCAAGGTGCACAGCATGAGATTCCACAGAACTAGCCAAGATCTGACCTGGCAGCTGAGTCACAAGGCAGAGCAGCACAGGGAAAGCTTATCTCTGTCCATCTTTTTTTTTTTTTTTCATCACATGCTTCATGGGAAGTCAGCTGTAAAACCAGGAGTTTCATTTCTGTAGAGTTTTAGCTTTGTGTGAGGATGTAAGCACTGTCAGAGTACAAGCAGTTCTGGTCCCAGGTACCAAACAGAATTGCAACTATCTACAACAGCATTTAACAGTTTGAGGTATATTTACATGTACCTTGCAACTGTGAAGCTACTGTGAAGATGCTGCCAGAGCCCTGCCCAGGAGCAGAAGGGAGACTAGGACCTTCCAGATCTCATGCTCAGGAAGGAAGCTCAAGGTCTCAGAAGTATGAGCTCTAAGCTGCCTTCCATGAGTTCTTTTCACTCAGGAGCATCAGCAGCATTTGATGAAGGAAACACTGACAGCAGAATTTGCAGGCCCCTGTTCAACCCGTGTACTACTGCCAAGACATTGAACTCTCTGTGTAGACCATGTCTCTGTTCAGCAGTGACACATCCTCTGTGTAAGAAGCCAATACATCAGCTTAGGCTATCCCTGTGTAGAGTTCTGCTCTGTCCACAACCAGGAACAGCAGCAGTGAACACAAATTCTTTTGAAGAGTTTAGCTCACCATCTTGTAAAACCAGGAACATGCTGACATAACAGCTTTTCTGCAGGCTCAGATCCCAAGCCCTGATCTACAAGAAAGCCTTCAATTCCTTATAGGATTCAGTATTTTGTTACTGAAAACATAGTCAATACAATAACTCTATTCTCAGTACTGTTTTATTTTATTGAAGCAACACAGAGCTTACCCACTTTGCATCTGGGGGAAAAGGATGATATTATTTATCCAGGAAGTGGATGATGAGACAGAGAACTCTGAGAAAACAAACAGTGCCATCCCTGCAGGCCTCAAGACAGTGACTGAAAAACAAAAATATTCCTTATTCACTTATTTCATTCCTTTATCAGAGGGAAGGGCAAACATACTCAAACAGATTCAGAAGCTATAGTAGAATTATGTATCAGATTTATTTTGCACATTTCAAGCAGAAACCATAAATACATAAATACAAATGAAAACATTGTCTATAACACTTCATACCATACTGTAATTTAAGAGCAAACTTCAGCTTCCAACTACCCAGTTAGAAAAAAAAATCCAGTTTCATTGTTATGCAATTAGTTGGCAAAGCATGTATTGACTGTGACAAGCTTAACCTGAATACACTTAGAAATAAGTAAGAACTCCATATCTAAAATATATTCTTCTGCTACACTTTGTTATAAAGATAAGAGATTTACCATGGACTTCTCATAAAAGGCAGAGCTTTCTAGGAGGCCACGAGTAAGATCTTTGTCACAGTGCAGGCTATTAATGCAGTTATTTTTCCCAAACCCTCAGGTAGCTCTGAGAAGCAAACCACCATTTCACCCTCATTTTGAAAGTATCAAATTAAATTGATAACACTTTTAGTACAAGAACTTTTTCATGAAGCACTTTTTTCAATTTGCTGGTTTGGTTTGCTTGTATATTTTTTTCTTTTTTGATTTTCTCTCTTTTGGTTGCTTAAGTCACACATTGAACTTGGGTGTTAACATATGAACTAATTCCTTCTACACTCATGAATGGACACGGTTGCTTTTCCCTGAGTTATGCTGAAGTCACTTTCTTAGACTAACCTGACTATTTAATCTCCTTGTGGAGCTGCAACCTGTATCAGCTGAACAGTGCTTTGCTTTCACTGGAACAGCTGGTATCAACTCCCAGACACAGTGTTTTCCCAAGGATGAAAGACAATGCTTCTCTGGCTGCTGCCACACAAACACTTCTACACTTTGTTAGGATGGACTCTGCAGAAGAGCTGGTCATCCAGCAGCCCATTCTTCACTCTTCCCCTCTCCCCACAATCCTGAGAAATTTCTCTGCTTTTTATCCAACAATGCCTCTTCCAGGAGAGAATAAATCACCCAAGAACTGTATGACACCTCACAGAGGCCCCAAAATATCATCACAGAATAAGCAAGGCCTCTCTGCTTCCCACTCTTCGACAGCACTTTGTTTTTAAAAAGCATGTTTGGGGAAGTTTACATCCTGTTAGATATCCAATTTCCTTTCTTTGCTTAGTATCAAGGCCTGCTGTGTCCCAGAGATTCTATCATCTTTGCATTAAGAACATTCCCCCTTCCCTTTTGCAATGAGCATCTTTGGTTTACTGTGCCCTGGACAGGTGACCTACCAGGACAGACCATTCACATCATAAGTTTTCACAGCATTGCCAACATCCACCCTTAAAAAGAAAATCTTTGGCCTCAATGCAGGCAAAATGTCTGTAATCACCTGAACTCAAATTACCTCAGACTTCCAGGAAAAGGTCCAAATTTCCAGGTTACTTATTTATTTACCTCCAATAACTTATAGGGAAAGTCCCCCAGGTTTGCACAGTCATCTTGGATAAACTCTGCAACATGGAGAATCCATGAATCTGCAGTATTTTTACTCCAACAGTCACATAGCACAGACACAAGCATACTAATGTTAATCTCTTTATACACAGCTTTGCTCTTGTTCACTGAGGAAGAACTCCAACACTTATCTGAGTGGCTGACTGCACTTACACTAAAGTTCACATGCATTCTGCAAAGGCAAAAAAAAAGTAGCTTCAAAGAGCAGCACGCCTTACGTATCAGGTAGATGCTGGACTACCAGGAAAGAGGAAAAAAATTATCACGAATTCTGGACCAAATGAAATGAAGCCCAGAACACGAGTACATGCTTTGAAAATCTGGTAAGGCTATCATTGCCATAATGCCTCAAGTAGAGACAGATACATGGTCAGTGTAACATCATTCTTCTTAACTTGGAGGAGCTTTTTCTGTAGGAGAGGCTGCTGATTTGAAACAGTGGATGCTCCCTTGGTGGGCAGCACCTGGGATACTCTAAACAGCAGTGAGAGTCCACAGAGAAAGTGAGGAATTCTTTGCCTAATCCTTCAAACCTCATATCCACTTTTGGAGTACATTACTATTAAAAGAAGTACAAGTACACAACAAGATTTAGTTCAATCACTCTGATGTAATAATGTAAAGGATTTCATCTTCGCTTTGTGCCTCCAAAGCCTGCAAAATAAAAAAAAAGAAAAATAAGTCAGCTCCACCATGGCCTTTCCATTGAACTCTCTAGCTCTAAAAAGGCTAAAGGTGGCAAGGGAGACAAGGTAAACATATCCACATGAAGGAGAACAGCAAGCAACTGTGGGCTGACTGGCCTGGAAACTATTCTGCTCTTGCAGATTAGACAACCTGCATTCTACAGAGAACATGTCTGTGCACGTTTGCTAGAGAAGAGCACACGTAGTGCTCATCAGAAGGGAAAGTCTTAAACTAATGCACCTTGCCAGTGAAGACAAGCCCGATGCTGACAGTGCCATGCCCACCTCAGGCCTGTGGGGAATTTCATGCCCCACAATGCTGCCCTGCTTCCATAGGGAATGGAAGGAAAGGACATCGTTACATGCCACCTACACCAACTGGTAAAATAAAACAAGGATGCTCCTTGAACCACAACTAACATCTGTATGTTTTTCATATGTCAAAGTCTCTTGAGCTTCAGGAAATGAAAAGGTGTTTTGCCTTACCAGAAGCAGTTCTTGTTCCTGAGCTGCTGCCTTCTGTGGAATTCCTTGAGTGCCCATGCATAGGAGGCACAGCTGTGGGATCTGTCCACATACTGTGATATGGGGAACGTGGCTGTGCTCTGGCATGGAACAGAGTAGAAGGAAGGCTTCGTTAGCGGCCTTTGGAAAAATTAAGAAGATACCATTCCAAACAAGAGAACTGCACCTCCAAGGGAAAACTGTAAGCAGTTCTTTCAAAGCTGGAAATGTTCCTATTTAATGTATTTAACTCACTGAGAGCAAGGACATCCAGTGCTGTGATACCATAGTGTAGACTTTCAAAAGGAAATTAAGCTTTATTCTTCAGAATAAGGAATTCTAACAATTGCAAATGAGGAAATTTTTCTGTCTGAAATTTTGACCTTAAATTCCATCAGACAAGAAAGAAGATTGAAATCTGAAGTTTAAATGCATTTTGGCATCACCTACACCCCAGCCACATTTGGCAAGAGAAAACATGCTTTTGTTAACTCTTTTGAAAAGGTCATTATCAGTAACACTAACATATCATGGTCTTTGACTCACTCACTTAAAATTACTTGCTTCCATGGATATGGAATTTCCTGCTGTTGAAATTTACAAACAGCTCTCTCACACTTCCTGGCACCAGCATTTTGCAGCACATAATTTCAAAAGCCTAAGAAACCAAATTAAATAATAGTGGACTGAAGTTTTAACAAAAAGAAGCCCAAGTTAGGAAGCTTGTTTATGTATTTGGACTTACTCAGATAGATCTCTAATCTTGAAGAATACCTTGTGCCTACTGAAATGGAGATGTGCATAGAAATCAGGGAACTAACCTGTATGTAGACACTACATAAAGAGAATGCCTCAACACAAGAGTCATGTATTTAAGCCTTAAGAAATACTAGACCAATAAAAACTTTAACACATTATACCTTAGAAAAATTCTTAGCAGAATTAATATAAGGCTTCTGTTATTAAAAATAGCCCACAACTTTACAACACAGATGCTTAGCACACTCCTGTCCATATATCTTACTCTCCAATCTGTTACATTTCTACAGGAATAGACTTGATACATAGGCAAGTCATTTGATAAATAGAGAAAACTGCTTAGGATCTGAAGACTCCTTGCAGGAATCTCATATTTTCTCCAGTGAAGCCTAAAATGGCAGCAACTGCTCTCTTTAAACTGTTAATCTAAAAATGATGCATTCTGATTTAGGCATGTCTAAAATCCTATACCAAATATGGTCATCCAGACCTATTTTAGGAAAGATGACACTGATACAAGGGATCCATACACAGATGATTATATGCTTAATATGACTGTGTGTGTTTTAAGGCATTCTGCAGATAAATTGCTTAAATGCTCAATTTAAATTGGCAGGCCATCATGCCAGGTCAGATGAAGCAGAATGAAGTACCTCAGTCTTTCCTATTCTGCCTCAGAAACATGTTTGAAATGTCTCTGGTCCTGGAGCTACAAACAGCTGCTCAAAATTCTCCTGGTGGTAGGATTTTATAATTTGAATGACACAGGTCTGAAATCTTAAAAACAATGTCAATATAGTACATGGCAAACCCCCTGAAAGCTTAAATGCTTAAAATTTGATAGTATGCATATTTTACCTGTGACTGCCTGCCAAGTAGCCTAGCAAGCCTCCTGCTCCTAATCCAGTCCAAAATCCTGGTCCTGAGCTGGTTCCATGATGGGAATTAGTTCCAAAGCTGTTGTCATCTTAAACAAAATGAAAATAGGAAGCATAAGTTAGTAACAGACTAATCCTCAGGCCAGCTGTTGCAACAAAATTCTCTCCTGTTAAAGATAATGGAAAATTAGACAACAAACTGCTCCTGATTTCAGCAGATTTTCGATCAAGCTTAACTTGAAAGGCCTCACATTTCAGAAAGCAGGACACCCCACATAAATGAACACTACTATAAAGAGTTTTATGTTAAAAATCTGCTTCCACTTCATTTCACAACCCTGACATTTGCAAAACATGGAAAGAGTCCCTGCCTGCTGATCTATAAACAGACAAGTTAGATTAAAAATAGAAAAGGAAACTAAGAAAGAATAATCTGCTGAAGGTCACCAGAGCAGGCCAGAAGCAGATACAGGAACACAAATCAAGTAGGTAGCACTGCAGAGTGAGCAAACCACAAGGACACAGAGCTCCTAATCTCACGGAGCACAGCTGCACAGTTTGAGTCACAGTGGCTCAGTGTAACGCTGACATTACTGGTATTGTTCCCAGTAATCCTAGTCTGGCACTTGTTATCAAAAGCCAAGCTAACTGCAACCACATTGCAAAGTTTTCATTATGCATGAGTCGCCAAGCTTGACAAATACCTTGATGAAACTGCAAGCATATCAAGTAGGTTGTGGGGGAAGGGGAGTCACAAATTTTTTGACATGTGACCTGCACATAACATGAGGTTCTGAGCCAGAATGAATGTTTTTCATTTAGAAAGAAAAACAGAAAGTACAAACCCAAGTTAGAATAATTTTCTCATCTAGCAAAAATCATGGATGCAAGAATAAGCTAATCATGGGTTTAACACATAAGGAAGTATAGAAGGACTGAAGATATTGAACATTAGGGTCTCCCTAAAACAAGCCCACCTGAACAAGTGGGCCAGAGATGACATAGGTAAAAATTAGAGGGCCTGATTTGTCTTCAAACTGATATGGGTTGTTTGAAGTTATAGAAGGTAAAACAATAATTAAATAATCAGTTTCAGTCTAGACTGGATTTGATATTGAATTTAATTTTGAATGTGTGGGGAGAAATATAAACTCTCATTGGGATGATATACCATTAAATTATGCTTATTTGGAACAACAACAAAAAAATTACTTCATTTGCTGTGAAAACAATGTTAATCAGAGATGAACCAACTCATTTGTTCAAAAGCACCATGACTGAACACTGACTCAGAAAACTGAGTAATTTTTTTTAAACATTTAGAGTAAACATTAAGAACCATATCAAACAACTAGCTGAGAGAAAGCATAATTTAATTAAGATAGTCCAGCTAAACAAGTTCCATAGGACACATTCTGCATGTTAAGGGGCTTTAAAATGAGGCAAATTAAATATTAACAGCAATATGTGAACAACATTGCTTGTCATTACTGTCCAGGCTTCCAAAGACTAATACATTCCTGGAACACATGGACACACACATTCAGAGATGTGCTTTTGCTCTGCTCCCACAATGTAAGGCAGACACTGAATGCATGAAGTAGTCTAACACTTAGTATTTTTAATCTGGCTCCACATTGCAGTTTTCCTCCCTACTTTGCCTGAAATCTAAAGACAAATCATTGACATGCCTTATTAAAAACATCACAAGCTGAGCATTATATGGCTCCCAATGTGTATTTTAAGTGTCTCAGTTTTCAGCAATCCTCAAGAAAACATTCTCAAGGCCCTGCCCTTGCTAGATTTGTGACTCCTGTGAAGAAAAATGCATTGGGGCAATTAACTGACACGGAACTGAAGAGAAAAAAAAAGAAAATAACTCTTCATTGTTCTGCCTGTGCCCAGTGTGACAGAGCTGTGTGTCGTGGCCAGGGCTCCTGCTGACCACCACAGTACAGCCAGTGCAATGCCCACACATGGCCACTGATGCCCACACAGCACAGTCAGACAGTCTGATGCAACCACGTGCAAACCAATTTGCAAAGCCAACAGAAGTAGATGCCCTTTAATTTTCTGGTGCAGGTACAGCTGAAAGGTTCTGCTGTGCACGCCCTGCACAAACGTATCCAAAAGAATTACACTGCACCCTCTGTTGGCCAAGTTATTTGAACAAATCTTGGAGAAAGCATTAATAAGCATTATTAAAATATAAACTTTCAACTAAGTAAACCTAATCCTTGCTACATATTTTCTTGCCAAAACCCCTTCTCTATTAACAACAACAAAAAAAAGAAATTATGTAACTTGTGAGAATGTAATTCAAGTTCTAGTGCTGTGAGCAGCTTGCATGTTTACAGGGTTAAATGAGTTAGTCAGACACCAGATGAGTAATGTTTATTTCCCTGAGACACTATGATGGCCTAAGGAAGACCACTTATTATGTGACAGAAGACACCAGTTTTCTGGGAAAAGAAAAACTGCCTCTTTTCCCAGCAGCAGCCTTGTCACTGCTTTTGTAATGTTCAGCTTCAGATGAAAGGCCCCACAGGAGATTCAGATGCTGTACCCTCTAATGACAGTTCACAGACACTCTGCTCTGGGAACCAAATCTTTCAGCTGCTGGGACTACACTGAAGCCCTGTTAAACAGAGGACTGGTACATGATACTCAGCCCCATCAGCTGCTTTGTCAATGAAATCAGGGCTGAAAGGCTGTTCTGTAAAGTTTCAGAGTGCTCCTTTGGCATGGCTTTGTTTCTGGCTGTGTAAGAACATTCTCTTTTCCAGATTACCTATGACAATTATTCTCCTTGTCACAATCCTGCTATTTCACAGGTGATGAAAAGAATGCTTGCTGAGCATGGGGAGGTAGCTTTTCAAAGGTTCAGAGGGCAGCCTGCCCTGAAAGCCAGTGGAAAGCCAAGCCCTAATTTCCTCTTTTGAACAAAGAGCAGAATACAAAGCTGGCCATAGGCTCTGCAGCCAATTTGTCAGTTGCCTGCAAATGCTGTGGTTTTAACTCTATCTCACCTTCCCTTGCCACAGATAAAACAGGACAATCCTGCTTGCTCTTTTGAATACTGTAAATGGCTCAGAGCCCTACCTGTGAAGGTGGACTTAAAACCAGGAGGAGGAGGTGCCTGCTGACTCTGCCAGAAGGGCTGAGAGAAGCCATCACTGCCCCCAGAACTCTGCTGAGACTGCTGGTTGCTGAGGAAGAACTTGTATACTCCAAAAGCAAGAAGAAGAAGAACAATTACAACAATTGCTCCAGAACCAGAATCAGAATAATCTTTCCTTGACTGGTAATAGCTAGAGCCAAAGCTTCCAGAGTTCTTCACTTTCCTTTCACCTTCCTCAGTCAGCTCTAGCTTGAACAGCAAACTACAGGAGCCTCTTAGAATGTAAGGATCATCTGGGTAATCATAGCCTTCACAGCTCACTTCCATTTGTCCAAAACGGTAGGCTTTTTCCAGGTCTGCTTTGCACTCCCACTGAAAAAATAAACACAACACAAAGTAAAACACACTGCCCCAAAGATGGAAACACCCATCTGCTTCCCTATATATGCCCTGAAATAAAGCTAATTGCTAACAAATCATTTAAGGGCCATAGGTAAGAAATTTTAATGTGCTCCTACTTTGAAAAGCAGTAGGAATTTGATGTTTAAATGAATTTTAAATACTAAAACTTAAAATAGATCTTATCTTTCAGAACACTGAAGAATTACAACTCTGGAATATTTAGTTTTTTCTTGATTGAATACGTTTTTCAAATATCCCTTCTTGATATATTGCAATACTTCTAAAAAAATGTGTACCCTGGACACATTTATTAGTTACATAATAAATGCCTGTCCTGTGCAAACTCGATGGCAGCTACAAAGACACAACACGTGAGCCTGAGATCCAGTGCATCATTGTGTCCATTTGTGTCTGTGCAGAAATTAAAAGAAACTGGGACAGGCATCATTAGACATCCACGTGCAACACTTAACAATTATGTTGGGGATTCTCTGGTTGAACACAGGTGGATCCTCAGGCTCACGTTCCCTTGAGGTATCCAAGCAAAGGGAACTCTAATGGCACGTGACATTTTGACACACATTTTGGAGAGGAAATAAGAAAGTAGCTGTCTCTAAACTAGCAATTCAGTACAGCAGTACCAACTGCCATTTAATATTTGACTATTCTTTGCTAGAACTGATACAGGATTTTGAATTACTTTCAGCCTTGATTCCTGGTTATCTATTGACAGCAGCCTCTAGCACTGAAAGTCAAGACTATTTTCTGACTAGCACTCATATCCTAAGGTGCAATTCTGAAATTTAGTTTCTAAAAGGTAGAGCTGAAGTGAAGCAAATATTAAGAAGCCCTTTCCACACTAATAAAAAATGTAAATTCACACAGCAATAATAATTCAAAAGCATCCTCCAGGGTTTGCAAGAGTTTAATTTTATAAACTCGAGCACCATTTTATTTAAAACCAACAAAGGTTTGCTATGCCGTACTTTCCCATTAGCTCCTTCAAAGATATATCAAACATATAACTACAGTAGCTCTGAAAAATCCAAACCTAAAAGTATTTAGGTTAAGTTTTAGTGCAAGAGTTCATTTAACAAAAAGCATCTGAACTGACAACCTAGCTCACGACTCTTCGCTCCTTCAGAACTTGCCAGCTTGGGGGAAAGCGATCTCACAAACAGTGTCACAAGCTGCAAACAGTCACCTGTACATCGTAGCCATCCCATCCTTTGTTGTAGCACTGCACAGCCTCAGGGACACGGGAGCAGCCCGCAGAGCCGCCCGTGCACTGCAGCTGAGGGACCGAGGCTGTCCGCCTGGATGTCGTGTACTGCCCTCTGTGGAGAGTGAGCGCCTGGACGTCCCGCAGCAGAACCTTCCCTGAAACAGGCAGCACAAGGAATGGCAGAGTCAGTTGGGCTGGGAAACACCTCCGTGACCACCGAGTCCAACCTCGACAAAAGAACCCTGCCATGTCAACCAGACCACGGCACAGAGCGCCACGTCCAGTTTCTCCCTAAACACCTCCAGGCACGGTGACTCCACCACCATCCTGGGCAGCCTATTCCAATATTTGACCACCCTTTCCGGGAAAAACTTCTTCCTATGGCTTGTCAGCACTTGTGCACAGGTGTGCTGCTCTTGGCCACCAGGGCCTGCTCTCAGGACATGCCGATGGAGGCCGAAGCAGTGAGCCTGCATCTTCACGAGACGAAGCTCCAGGAAGCTCCAGACGCCCAGGGGAAACAGGCAGAGCTCCCGGTTTCCTCCCGAGGCGGCTCCGGGCTCCTCCTCCCCGGCAGACAGCCACACTGCCCGCGGTGCGCGATCACTGCTCCCGCACCAGCCGGGTTAGAGGCGGCCCAAACCCCGCCAGCCCTTCTCCCCCGCTAAACCGGCAGCGCTGCGCGGTGCCGGGCCGCCAGGAGCCGCCAAGGCACCGGCAGAGGCGGCTGAGCCCCCTAATCGCCGCGGGTCTCACCCGGTCGGTCCCGGCCCAGCGCGGGTCCCGCGGCGGCGCAGAGCAGCAGCAGGCGCAGAGCAGCGAGCGCCGCCATGGCCGCCATGACAGCACCGGCAGCCGCCACCGCCCGCCAGGGACGCGCGGGGCCCGCCCCAACCCCGCCCCCA